TTTTTTTTTTTTTTTTTTTTCTTTTTTTTGGTTTTTTGAGACAGGGTCTCACTATGTAGTTGAAACTGAACTGGAACTCACTATATAGCCCAGGCTGGTCTCAAACTCACAGCAATACTCTTGCCTCAGCCTCCCATGTGTTAGGATTACAGGTGTGCGCCATCATGCCGGACTAGGAATGCTATTTCAAAGTAGGTCTATTTTCTTGTAGAACTGTGATGTTTCCACATAACATTTGCCACAAATTTTTTTTGTTTAATTGACTATTTGTTTAAAGTGTGTTTTTCTCTTCTGCTAGATTCAAACTCACAGCAATACTCTTGCCTCAGCCTCCCATGTGTTAGGATTACAGGTGTGCGCCATCATGCCGGACTAGGAATGCTATTTCAAAGTAGGTCTATTTTCTTGTAGAACTGTGATGTTTCCACATAACATTTGCCACAAATTTTTTTTGTTTAATTGACTATTTGTTTAAAGTGTGTTTTTCTCTTCTGCTAGATTGTAGACTTCAAGAATACAGGCATGCTGGTCTTGAGGGATTGAGTCAGATGGATTGCCCTTAGTTTGAGACCCAGTTGGGCTTTATAGTGAGTCCAAGGCCAGCTTGCACTACAAAGTGACTCTTGTCTCAAGAAAAAAAAGCATGCAGGCATTTGTATCTCAGTAGTAGAACATTTGCCTGGCATTTATAGGACCCTGTGTACTTGCAGTCAACAGCATCACAACAAAGAATGAAATTAATTTTTGCTCGTGTGTAAGGGGGACACATGTACAGGAATATTTATAATAGAATTGATTATGATTTTTAACTTGTTAATCCAAGTCTACTTTAAAGTGGATGGTAATAGGACCAGGGATTTAGCTCAGTGGCTCTGCCGCCTGCCTCGCAAAAAGCACAAGGACTCATATTCAATCCCTGGTACCAAAAAAATTAAAATAAAATGGATGGTAATATATTCACATTCTGGAATATGATAAAAGTGCAAATAAATTGAAATTTATTCAATTTAATCTCTGGGCTGGAATTTAGCTCAATTGCACCATTGCCAGCCTTGCAAGCGCAAGGTCCTGAATTCAATCCCCAGTACCGCCAAAAAAAAAAAAAGTCTCCAAAAAATTTGGATGAAGATTTAGCTCAGTGGTGCCCCCGCCTGCCTCACAAGCGTAAGGACCTGAATTTAATCCCCAGTACCAAAAAAATAAAAGTAATGAGTCTCCAAAATATGCCAAGTGAAAAAAATCCAGGTCATTCACAAGAGTGTATATATACTCCATGATTCCATCCATTTATGTGAGATTCTAGCACAAACGCAAGGATATCTTACCTGGGCTTGGAAGGAAGAGGAGTGACTGCATAAGAGTATAAGGAGATATTTTGGGGTGAAGGAAATACTGATTGACATCTGGGTTTGGTGGCACATACCTGTAATCCTAGCTCACTGGGAAGCTTAGGCAGAATGACACAAATTTGAGCCCAGCCTAGGTGATAGTGAGACCCTGTCTCAAAATTAAAAAGGGAGGGCTAAGGATGTAGCTCAGTATGAAGGCCTTAGGTTCAGTCCTCAAAACCACCACCACAAAAAAAGATCTAGCTCAGAGACATATACTTTGCACAGCTTAAGAATCCAAACCTATCCTTATTAAACTCCTGCATCTTGCCATGTCACTTCATTGGTTACATGAGGATTTTTCTCAGCTTCATCTTAGTCACATATTCTGCCCTATTTCCAGATTGTTGAGTGGCAGCATATAGGGTAAATAATGGTGTATTCTTTTCTCTGCATGCACAGGACTTGAAAGAGGAGATTGATATTCGACTATCCAGGGTTCAGGATATCAAGTATGAACCACAGCTCCTTGCAGATGATGATGCAAGACTGCTACAGCTGGAAACTCAGGGAAATCAAAGTATGTGGCAAGCTCTTGGAAGAGTCCCAGGACTTCAGAATCCCTTCACTTTCGGAATTATCAGTAGCTTTTGAGAGACCTAAGTTGCTCCTAAGTTACTGTTAGATGTGAAGAGGCAGCATATTAGGAGCTTGGGGGATCTTTGGAAGGTTCTGTCTGAGACTAGTCTTTTTCAACAGGTTACTACAATTATCTGTACAGGATGAAAGCTCTGGATGCCATCCGTGCCTCTGGTAAGGGCCAGCTGACAGGATCCTAAAAAAACTCACCCTGGAGGGCCAGGGATTTAGCTCAGTGGTTCCGCCGCCTACCTCACAAACACAAGGTCCTGAGTTTGATTCCTGGTACAAAAAAAAAAAAAAAAAAAAAAAAACTCACCCTGGGAACAGTGATGAACCCACTTAGTACATTAGGGTATTTTGCATCCCTGGGTAGCTGGAATTTCCTGGAGTTCTGAGAGTACTGGGTTACTCTTTGCCTAAAGGTATAATGTAGGCAGATTTTTCCTTTCCAAAGCATCTGAGGGGTTTTATTTCTGATTTTAAGGTTCTTTTGAGATATTTAATTTCACGAATCAGTAATTTACTTTCTTTGCACCAGACTGTGACTTCTGCTTTTTCTTTTTTTTTTTTTTTTCTTGCTTAGATGGTTCTTGTGTTTCTTTCCCATTCTATGACCACTTGTCAAGCTTTATCTCTACCAAAACATCATTTCTATCTTAAAGCCAGGATGGATAAGGAGGATAGTAAATGGGTAAGAAGGGTAATAAAAAGGATGTTAATGGTATGTTGTGCCATTGGCATAACTTACATTTGTGTGGCCACTCAGGCACAACTGTATACTTGTGGTCTTCTGAATTTTACTAGAATTGATCTCTGCCAGGTGTGGTGGCTCACGCTTGTAATCCCAGCACTCCAGATGCTGAGGCAGGAGAATCGCTATGAGTTCGAGACCAGCCTGGGCTACATAGTAAGTTCCAGATCAGTCTCAACTACATAGTGAGACCCTGTCTCAAAAAACCCTCCCCAAAAAAATTATCTCTGACTGGTTTTATTAGACCTATGTCTAAGTTGGGAAATTAACTAGAAAGACTAAAAACTGGAAAATGATATTGTGCTATTATCTCCTCAGAGATCCCATTCCAGGCTGAAGGCCGGCATCCTCGTTCCTTAATGGGCAAGAATTTCCGCTCCTACTTGCTAGATCTTCGAAACACTAGCACTCCTTTCAAGGGTGTGCGCAAGGCCCTCATTGACACCCTGCTGGATGGCTATGAGACAGCCCGCTATGGCACAGGGGTAAGTGTATAGCTAGTTTTGCCTTCAGTCTCTGAAAGGATAGTCTGGACTGTGATCCTCACTCTTCTTTCTCTTTCCTAAGGTCTTTGGCCAGAGTGAGTACCTCCGCTATCAGGAAGCCCTGAGTGAGCTGGCCACTGTGTGAGTTTGAAGGGGCTGGTTAGAGAGTTTAGAAGTCCTACACTGTCCTGCAGTGAAATGACCTTTTTAAAGCAGTGGGAACAAAATCCATAATGTCACAAGTTCCTAGACTATTAGCATTGTCTCCAGCAAACATTAGCACAGATCTGTGGCACAGATCTGTGATCCTAGCACCCTGGGATGCTGGCAGGAAGATCATAGGTTCAAGCCCAGGCTAGGCAATTAAGACCTTGTCTCAGAGTTGGGAATGTAGATCATACAAAGACCGTGGTCCCTAGTACATGCCAAAAAGAAAAAGAATGAGAGTGTAGCATATGAGCTAAGCATAGAGGCTTAGTGTGTGTCTTTTTACTTTGTATGCATTTTTGTCTATCCCAATAAAATGTTAAGATTGGCATAATCTAGCAAAGAATACAATTTTTGCACATAAAAGGATTTCTTCTGTTTCAAGGTCCTGTATGTCTTGTTCTGATACAAGTCAGAATTAGCCAGGTATGGTGTTGCACACCTGTGATGCCAGGAAGCTAAGGCAGGATAATCACTAGGAGTTTGAGGCCATCCTAAGCTATATAGCAAATTCAAGGCCATCCTGAAGCACGTAGCAAGAACCTGTCTCAAAATAATAATAAGCCTAAAAATGAAAGAGTCAAATGCCACCCATTTTTACTACTGAAAGTGGTGTTGTCCTGTCTGAAGAGAAAGGTATTACTTAGCTTTTGAGCACTTGTCTATAGGAGTAGAATCACTTTTTCTTGGGAATGTTTTAAATATGTAATAAACATAGTATCATTAGATTGCTTATGCAAAGCTTAGAATGAAAGTGCTTGGTGAGAGAGAAAGGCCAATCTAAAACTAAAAATTAGCTACCTTGCTGGGCCTGGTGCTGTACACCTGCAGTCCTAGCACTCAGGAGGCTGAGGCAGGGGGATGTCTGCTAGTCAGAGGCCATCCTGGGCTACATAGCAAGACCCTGTTTCAAAAAAATAAGGGCCAGGGATTTAGCTCAGTGGTTCTACCACCTTGCCTTCCGCAAGCAGAAGGACCCAAGTTCGATCCCTGATACCAAAAAAAAAAAGAGCAATCAAAAAAAAATAAAGTGTTCACCATTTTTAAAAAATAAAAATTAGTTATCATCCGTGAAAAGAATGTATCTTTTCTGCTGTGTTCGTTTCGGCTCTGTCTCAGGTGACAAGGGCTATGTCTTTCCTGTCTTCTTTCTGTCACTGCAAATAAACTAGGTCCTAAAGGCAAAAGGTCCTCCAGAAGCCAAGCAAGGTGGTCCATGCCAGTAATCCCCACAGTGTGGAGGCTGGATACAGGACAGAGTGACTGTGCCTAACACTACTGACATATCCCTGCTTTTTTTTTTTTGGAGACAGGATCTCTCTCTCTCTCTCTAATGCAGGCTGGTTTTGAACTCACTGTGTAGCCCAGGCAACCTTAAACTCTTGGCAGTCCTCCTGCCTCAGCCTTCCAACTACTGGAATTACAAGTGTGTGTACTACACCCAGCTCTAATGTATGCATTTTTTAAAGGCTAATGTGGTAAATATATCATGTGAATTTTACTACACTTTTGAAAAATAACTTTCTCTGGGCCAGGTGTGCTCTATCTCTAGTAAATCCCGGCTCAGGAGGCTGAGGCAGGAGGATTACCACTAATTTGAGGCTAGCCTTCAGCTATGTAGTGAGCTCAAGGCCAGCCTGGGCTACATAGCAAGACCTTGTCTCAAAAAACCAAATAAGTACATGACTTTCTTTGGGTGCAGTAGTGCAGCCCCTGTCACTGCAGCTCCTCAGCAGATGGAGATGAGGAGATTGCAAGTGTGAGACAAGCTGGGCAGCTGAGTAAGACCCTGTCTCTAAATAAAATGGTAGAGTTAGCTGGTCGTGGTGGTGCACGCCTGTAATCACAGCACTCGGGAGGCTGAGGCAGGAGGATCGCTGTGAGTTCGAGACCAGCCTGGGCTACGTAGTGAGTTCCAGGTCAGTCTCAACTACCTAGTGAGACCCTGTCTCAAAAAAAAACAACAACAAAAAAAATCGTAGAGTTGGTGATGTCTCTTAGGGGTAGAGTACTTGCATAACATGTAAGACCCTGAATTTAATTTCTAGTATCATTTTTAAAATGTTTTTTTTTTTATTGAGACCATCTCACTAGTCCAGGCTGGCCTTGAACTCATTGTGTAGCCCAGACGGCCTGAAACTTGCAGACATCCTCCTGCCTCAGCCTCCCAAGTGTTGGGACTACAGGCTACCATGCCCGGTTTCTTGGAATGTTCCGTGGGTATAGTGAAAGAGTATAGGTTTTGAAATCTTACATGGTTGGGTTTGAGTCCCCAGTCTATCACTTACTACCTTTGTGACTCCATAAGTCTCCTGTCCTGCAAAACCAGGGGATGCTGGGAGTGTTGGTCATTCATGTGGCTGTAAGTCACCAATTGTGATGTCCTAGTGTTGCTTTTTGGTTTTTGTTTTCAAGGCTGTTTGGACTGGGGATGTGTTAGCTGCTTACACAGGTGAATCAGCAGAGTTGGACCATAGTGTAATGAAAGAAAGCACGAGCCAGAGACAAAGACTCAGTGGGAAATTAGTTTCCCTGCTTTTCTGTGCTGTTGGGCGGGACATTGTGGCAGCATTGATGGAGTCGGATAAGCCTGGAATTCTGTTCTAGTCTGTAACCTCCCATCTGTTCTTCAGGGTCAGAGCACGAGTTGGGAGCTCTCAGCGACAACACCAGTCAGCAGCCAAGGACTTGACTCAGTCTCCCGAAATCCCCCCCACCACCATCCAGGTGACATACCTTCCCTCCAGCCAGAAGAGCAAGCGTGCCAAGCACTTTCTGGAACTGAAGAGCTTCAAGGACAACTACAACACGCTGGAGAGCACCCTGTGACTCGCAGACTGAGCCCACTTCCTGAAGGTCCACCCGGCCTTTCCTGTAGGCATTTGCAAAACATTATCTGAGACTATTTTCCCACAATAGCACTTTTTTCTGAATTTAAATTCAGGTGTCTTAAGAGGTTTTTTGTTTTGTTTTGTTTTTTGGTACTGGATATCAAACTCGAGACCTTGCCTTGTTTGCGAGGCAGGCGGCAGAACGACTGAGCTAGATCCCTGGCCCTCTTTAAGAGGTTTTTGTCAGACCTACTTTAAAGTTTTTACCATATTTTTGGTCAGAGTTCACCCACCCTGTTCCAGCTGCTGAATCTCAGAGGTGAAAGTTGAGGTGAGGCGTCTTCTGCATCTACCCTGTTGTACTCAACTGAGCGGGAACTGTTTGGGTTCAGGGTGTTTTAGAGTCATTGCTGGTGGCGAAAACAGATAGGGTGCCAGGTGTGGTGGCTCACGCCTGTAATCTCAGCAATCGGGAGTCAGGCAGGAGGATTTTTTAGTTCAAGGGCAGCCTTGGCTAGATGACAAACTCAAGGCCAGCTTGAGCTACACACACTGAACAGTTACTTCAAAGCAGAGCAGATGCGGGGGAGCTGGGGATTCCGCTCAGTGGTGCCTCCGCCGGGTAAGGAAGTGGGTGGTGGTGTGTGGAAGGGTTTTTCCTGGCGCTCCCCTCTAAGCCAGGGTGTGTTCTAACATTAACACAACTCTCCTCCCCTCTAAGCCAGGGTGTGTTCTAACATTAACACAACTCTCCTCGTGAGCCAGGGTCTGCCCTCACACTCCCATTCAGTTCTCTTCCCAATACCTGGCTTAGACTAGGAGTGGTGTCGCACGCCTCCCAGCACTTGGGAGGCAGAGGCAGGAGGATCACTGCAAATTCGAAGCCAGCCTCAACTACATAGCTCAAGGCCAGCCTGAACTGCGTAGTGAGACCTTGTCTGCCAAAAAAAAAAACCTGGCATAGTCTGTTCCACGATAGGAATCAGTGTGAAGGCATGGTTTCCCCTAATTAGCCAATGGAATGGCTTGATTTTATAAATTATTTAATAAAACAGACTGTTGAAGAAACATACGATTCATTGAGTTATAGTTGTCTTTTAGCAAGACAAGCACATGATACACTGTATTTTCTGCACTGTCTTTACAGCGGGGTATAGAGCAGTGGTGGTGACCAATGGCACGCTTGCCTCAGTGGGCTGTTTCTGTTGGTGAAGACTGAAAGATTCTCAGAGAATAAGGCTTTCCTCCGGAAATGGTGGGACTGTGCACATTGCTTGACCCACAACCTCACAGATACTCTCTGGGACCCTAACAGAAGCAGTCTGGAAAGACTGTGGCCCCTGCTCATAGGTTTGCTTGTGTCACTGATAGAAGGCCAGAGAACCAAGAGTCTCTTCAGGTCTCCAGGGCAACAGGCCAGGTGACCAATCAACTCTTCTGTAGCAGGTCATTTTTGGAGGCCTGAATGTTGCTATGGCTACAGAAACCTTGGTGACTGAACCAAACAAAGGAGTGCCTGCTTGAGATTCTCAGGCTATCAAGCAAGGCTGTAGACATGTCTGCAGAAAAGATGACAGAAGTAGAAGAGGTGTACAGAGTTACAGGGAGGGGCTGGGCTAGAGGACTGCTTCCCTTGAGATTTCCAAGGCAGTTATCAGAAGTGAGCCTTTTCGGGGCCTGGGATTTGCCTCACTGGTGGTTCTGCCACCTGCCTTGCAAGCACAAGGGCCTGAGTTCAATCCCTGGCACCAAAAAAAAAAAACCTGCCTTTTTTCTTCCTTTGTCTCTAGCAGCATAATTAGGAACTAGGAGCAAGAGTCTATATCTGGTATATAAGTGTTTCACCCCAACTGCATGCTTGCTTTCTTTGGTCCATTCTAAAAAAAAAGAGCTTCCTTCCCTTCTACCCTAGGAAACTGACTGAAAAGAGGTCTAGAGACCCAGCAGGAAGGGTGCTGTTAGGGAGGCTGTGGAGATCGAGGTACATCAACAACTCCTCTTCTTGCAGACTCTGCAGAGGGCGGTGAGACTTAAGAAGATGGTTGACAGGTAACCTCTGCTTCTGTCGCCTCCCCCATCCTTCAGGTTGACCTTTCTACCTTCATTTTCCTAAGCCACCTCCAGCTCTGCTGTCCCTTGGGCCTCAAAAAAAAAAAAAAAGCTGAGAGGGCCAGGGATTTAGCTCAGTGGTTCCACCGCCTGCCTCACATGTGCAAGGACCCAAGTTTGATCCCTGATACCAAAAAAAAAAAGCTGAGAATGGTGGTGCACACCTATAATCCCAGGACTGGGAGACTGGGGCAGGAGGACCACCAATTTGGGCCTAGCCTGGACAGCTTAGAGCTTGTCTCAAAAAATGAGGTGGGGTGGTTAGGAATGTAACTCAGTGCAAAGGCCTTAGGTTCAATCCCTAGTTCCACCAAAAAGAAGAAAAAAAACGGGAAGGGGTAAGAAACAGCCCTGTTCTCAAAGCAGCTGGAGCAGTCTCGCTGTACCTAACAGATAACATTTATTCCATCTGTCCCTATTCTTACAGGAGCAAGCTTTGTTTGGGGTTTTTTGAGGCAGGGTGTTGCTCTGTAGTCCAAACTGGCCACAAACTTGTGGCATTCTTCCTTCCTTGGCCTCTCAAGACTTGGGATTACAGGTGTGCACCACTATGCCTGGCAGATTTTTTTGCTTTCAGAAGAATGCAAGTATTTCTTGCCCAGCTTAGGACTAATTACGGTGGTACCTTGGTTCACAAAACACTTTTTTGTTGGGGGGGTTGAGACAGGGTCTCACTATGTAGTTGAGACTGACCTGGAACTCACTGTGTAGCCCAGGCTGCTCTCGAACTCACAGCGATCCTCCTGCCTCAGCCTCATGAGTGCTGGGATTACAGGCGTGCGTCACCTTGCCTGGCAACAAACATTTTTGTGAGCAATTTAGTTTGCAAATGGAAGCATTTGGCAGAAATGTGTTTTTGCTTACAAACTCTACATTGGAAAACTGTGGCCACCTTTCCCAGAATCAAGGAACGAATTAGTACCACTGTACGTGGTTGGTCTTGCCATGTCTGTGGACTGCGTGAAAGGACTTGGGAGACTGCCACAGCTACACCTGCAGCCTAGATCTTCCCCGGAGCAACCTCTCAGCCCTTTTTTATTTCAACCTCCCCAGTTTCTAAGATTCCAGTCATACCCCCAGTTTAGCTTTGTGCTTTTAAAGAAAAAAACAGTGAAAAAAGCTTGGCTTGGGGTGCACACCTGTGATCCTAGCACTGGTGAGGCTGAGGCAGAAGGATCGTGAGTTTGGGGCCAGCCTGGGCCAAACAATGAGTTCAAAGCCAGTGTGGACCACACATTGTGATCCTGTGTCCAAAATTAAATCAAAAAATAAAAAGCATTAAAAGGGTTGCTGGAGACATACATGATGTAATGAAAAGAATATATAATGAATGTTAAAAATTTAAATTTGTTATAGTAAAAACTTATTACCATTGTTCCCCCAGAATACTCCCCTGCTCTTCAAAGAGTTATCCCACCCTTCTTGCCACATTCTAGAGCAAGTCTGGAAGTCTCTCGTGTCTTCAGGTGCACTCTTATGACTCCAAGTCCTGAATTGATTTTTTTTTTTTGATACCTGAGATTGAATTTGGGACCTTGCACTTGTGAGGCAGGCAGTGACACTGCTGAGCTAAATCCCTGTGTTTTTATGAATGTGCCTTTCTTTTGGATGGTACATGGCAGCAGCATTCACCATGTTTTTGGTTTTTGGTTTTTTTGAGACAGGGTCTCACTATGTAGTTGAGACTGACCTGGAACTCACTGTGTAGCCCAGGCTGGTGTCAAACTCACAGTGCTCCTCCTGCCTCAGCCTCCTGAGTGCTGGGATTATAGGCGTGCGCCACCACACCCAGCTTCACTGTATTTTTTGTTGTTGGGTTTTTTTGTTTATCACTTTTTGTTTTGGTAGTGGAGATGAACAACTCACAGCCATCGGAGAGGCTGGCCAGTGCCATTGAGCTAAATCCCGGGCCTATTCACCATGTTTTTAATCGACTAATAAAGACAAAAGAAGACTTCCAGAACTGCTTCTGAAAGTGGCAAGAATAAGATGGGTGTGGTGGTGCATACCTCTGATTCCAGCACACTGGAAGCTGAGGCAGGAGGTTCACCACAAGTTTGAGGCCATCCTGAACTCTAGGTGAGAGGGGGCCAGGGATTTAGCTCGGTGGTTCTGCCTCCTGCCGTGCAAGCACAAGGTCCTAAATTCAATCCCTGGTACAAAAAGACAAAAAGTGGCAAGTACAATGGAATAAGTGTGTTTGAAGAAAAGGGGAATTACAATGTGTCTTTAATAATTTTTTAAATAGTCACTGTATATTTTGTTTACTCATTGTAGCTCAATGCAGAGTGCTTACATCACATGCAAATAGCACTGCCAAAAAAGAAAAAAGGAAAAAAAACACTTAATGCACATCCATGCCTTACCTCAATACCTTCTGATTAAAATGTCTGGGATGTGTGGAGCCTGAAGGTACACACCTATGATCCCAGCACTCAGGAGGCTGAGGCAGGAGGATCTCTGCACATTGATGGCTAGCCTGGGCTACATAATGAGACCCTGTCTCAGAAAGAAATATATAAACTGATCCATTGTAGTTATCAAGCCCCTCCCATCTCCATCCTGGAGATTGGAACAGCTTCCTACATCCTAGGCAAGCACTGCACCCCGAGCTACATCCCCTTGTGGGTTCTGCGGTCTTCTGACAATGGCACGGGCTTTGAGTAAGTGGTGAGGCTCACCAGTGGGGCTTCGGTCTCCCCTGCCAACTCCAACCTGTCCGACCTCACCTCTGTATACCTGGGCAGGTGGCAGAACTCGCGGACTCACTGCATGTGGCAGACAACCCTGAGCCAGAGGCGAAACCCGTATGCCATCCTTCGGATGCAGGGCACCATGGAGCAGGAGCTGGCGCTGGCTGACAGACACCTGCTGCTGGTGAGCTCCAGGAGGCCCCGAGGCCGGCTGGGCCCCCAGCTCCTGGCCTGTCATTCTTGCCCTCTCCTTGACCTCAGGGTTTTACCCATACCCCCGACAGCTCTTCCACTGCCAGTGCCAAAGTTCTTTTTCACCAAGTGATTCTGCACCTAGCGTGCAAGTGACACATCTTCAAGTCCCCTAAAGTGCCTCCCCGTGCACCTGCCTCTCAGTCCAGCTTTCTCTCTGTGGGGTGCGGATTGCTTGGTATCCTGCTACCTAGCAGAATTCCCGGTTCGTGCTATGTTCTCAGGAAACGTTTGCTGAATATGGGGCTCCACTCACGGAGAAAAAAATCAAAAAGGTGCCGGGCGTCGCGGCGCATGCCTGTAATCCCTGCACTCGGGAGGCTGAGGCAGGAGGATCACTGTGAGTTCGAGACCAACCTGGGCTACATAGTTCCAGGTCAGTCTCAACTACGTAGTGAGACCCTGTCTCAAAAAAAAAAAAAAAAAAAAAACAAAAAAAAAATCGAAAAGGCTTCCCTTCCACCGGTTCAGCCTCTGCTACAGCTTGACCTTACAGCTAAGAACAGGCCCAGGAAAGCCCAAATCATGCAAACGCAAGGGGGGTGGGTGGCGGGGACCGGGCCAGCATCGCTCTCCCGCACCGCAGGTCCGCCGGGCCGCCCTGCACCAGCTCTTCGAGGAGGAGCACGAGCAGTACCGGCAGGAGCTACAGCGGATGGGCAAAGCGTTCTACGTGGAGAGACTCTGACGGCCTCTGAAGCTGCTGTTCCATCCTCAGCAGACCTGTCAGTCCAGCCCCGCTGAGTCCTGCCCCCTTGAACTACCCTCCCAGACCCACCGCGCTGGCCTCTTCACTCCAGCCAACCCCCTTGCCCTTTAGGAACAATCCCCAGAAACTGATGGAAACAAAAGCGCCGCCGCCGCCTTGTGGCCACACTGAGCGATGCAGGCTGCTGTGGCGGGGGAAGGGATGGGCGGTGCCACACGTTTATTTTATTTTAACAATAAAGTTACCTCTTATGTAAAGATCAAACTCAAACCACAGTCAGCCCTTAGCCCTGATTTGTTCCTGACTTCCTGGATTTTACGTTCCGCCTCTCAGCTCTTTCACTAATCTCTGCGTGAACGAATAGCTCTGAATCCAGCTAATCTCCAGGCACGGTGGTGCTGGAGTGTCAGGAGCCTGGATTGTAGGCGTTGAATCGTCCAGTTACTGAGAAACCTTGGAGAAGCCTCTTTCTGCTGGGCCTGAATTCCTACCTGCATAGAGGTGGGAGGGTTGTAAACTCAGATGCTTCCAGGCATCAGGTAACATAGCAGGTATAAAAATGTCTGGTGGCACTTGTGGGCCCTGGAAAGAGCACTCGTTCCATTCTGAGGCATTCAAAATACTGAAAAGTGGGCTAAGGATTTTAGCTCAGTGGTTTTGCTTCGCAAGCACAAGGTCCAGGTTCAATCCCGGGTACCAAAAAAAAAAAAAAACTGCAAGGGGCAAAAGTGGGCTAAGGGTTTTAGCTCAGTGGTTTTGCTTCCCAAGCCCAAGGTCCAGGTTCAATCCCGGGTACCAAAAAAAAAAAAAAAACTGCAAGGTGCTGATTGAGCTTGTACATCACAGGCCACAGAGACCGTACCGGTGAAGGGTCCGCCGTACGCGGGTGACGCCTGGGCGGCCAGTAGCAGCTGTGGCCTCGCGGGAGCCCCTGATGGAGCCACACTCTGCATTCCTTCCCATAGCTCACTCGTCCGCGGTGAAACGCACGCCCTTCCTTAGTCCTCCTCCCAGCTTGTCTCCATCTCTCCTGAAACCACAGTTTCATCTCCTAGCTGTCAGAGCCTCTTCCTTCTGCCCCTGAACACTTCTGCTCCAGAGGCAGCAGAGTATGAAAGGAAGAGCGTCAGGCAGGAGGATCGTCACGAGTTCGAGGCATAGCAAGTTCCTGGCCAGTCTGAGGTACACAGCCAGACTCAGAAAACAAAAACTTTAAAATATACACATAACGTACGTATGTACATGTGTGTATCTATAATGAACGCAGGCTTACAGCTCTGTGTGGACTCACTTCCTGGCCTCGCCTCGAACTCTGAGTCCTGTGTAAATGGCTTCATCCATCTGAGCCTTTCCCACTCCTGAAAAGGAGAAGTCACACCCATCTCGCATCATTTTGAGGTTTACATGAGAAGATGCAGACAGAGCAAGCCCAGTGCTCGGTGCACAGTAGGCACCCTCATTTCCCACTCGGGAGACTCCTCCCTTCGGCTTCTCTCCACCCCATATGTCCGTTCATTTGCTCCCATTACCCCATCCCAGTCCTCTTTTATTTTTAGCTGTTAGGCAGGGTGGCCTGGAACTTGCTAGGTAGCCCAGGCTAGTCTCAAACTCGCAATCCTCCTGCCTCAGCCTCCTGACTGCTGGGTTACAGGTGTGTGCTGCCACACCTGGCTGACACTCGTCTTTAGTAACTGCTGGAGAGTTCTTACACCAAAGAAAACAAAGAGCTTGCAGGTTGGTGAAGGAGGCAGGCCTTCAGTGGTAAAGGCAGATACAATTTCTTTTTTTTTCTTTTTTTCTTTTTTTTGAGACAAGGTCTTGACGTATAGTGCAGGCTGGCCTTGAACTCATTATGTAGTCTAGGCTGGTTTTGAACTCACAGCAATTCTCCTGCCTCAGCCTCCTGAGGGCTAGGATCATAGGCATGAGCCACCGTGCCTGGTACAGTGTGTTTCTTTGTGGGTTTTGGTTTGTGGGGTTTTTTGTTTTGTTTTGTTTTGTTTTGGTACCGGATCAAACTCAGGTCCTTGTGCTTGCAAGGCAGGCGGCGGAACCACTGAGCTAAATCCCCAGCCCCAGGTACAGTGTGTTTTATAGGCAGCAAAACTCTACATCCATGGTGTGGGTCTTGACCACAGCCCTACGACTGAGTCTCTTTTCCTTCCGTCTGTTTTCCTGCCCTCTCCTCCCCAAACATCCAGTCCGACTCGCTTCTCCTCTTTCATCTCACCTTTTATTTGTCTTCCTGGCCACCTTCTGCTTCTTCTTCACGGTGGTATAACCTGGACTTAAGAGGACAGTCTCCGTCCTGGGTTTTAAGCCTGGCTCTGTCACTCACTCGCTGGCTGTGTGGCTTTGTGAGTTTTCTGATTTTCTGGCTGTAATTCCTTCTGTGTAAACTGGGCATCACGCCTACCCCACTGAGTCACTGTGGGATTAAATGGAGTGTGCAGGGCCGGGGATTTAGCTCAGTGGTTCCGCCACCTGCCTTGCAAGCGCAAGATACTGAGTTCGATCCCTGGTACCAAAAAATAAATAAAAATGCAAAAATAAATGGAGTGTACAGAGAACTGTACTAGTGTTTTCCCGCCGCGGGGGTAGCTTTTCCCTTTGTTTTCACCGATCACCTGCAGGCCCTTCCCTCCAGCCGCACTCCTTGGCTGACCTCTTCTGTTTCTGTCTTCCTCCTTGCTCTGTTCATCTGGGCTCAGGGATGCCCCGTCCCTCTGCCCCAGACCTGACCTTGGCCCTTTACCGCAGGCCTTGTCACTGCCCAGTGGGCTCCAGGATTGGCAGGTTGGACTTTGCACACCCTGTCTGGTCGCATCACGTCAGCTCTGCTCGGGAGAGTCGGGTCTGCCGAGCGGCAGTGGGGCAGCGGGCTTCCCTCCACGGCTAACGCCGGCCCGCTTCTGTGCCTCGCGAAGGGGCTCCCTGGGAGGCACTGCCAAGAGAGCGGAAGGGCTTCCCGCCAAGGCCCTGCCGTACCTGTGCTTTCGCAGGGCCTCCTCCCCGGAGAGCCGCTGCCCCGCACCGCCGACGCGCCGTCCGCCTCTGCTCCCGCAGGGCCACGGACCCCAGGGACGGTGGATTTCTGCCGGGCCCCTTCCAGTCTGTTCCCCCGCAGCCTGTGGTCCCCCAGTGTGGTGCCGTTCTTAAAGGAGGGAACTAGAACTTGGGAGTCAAGGGTAAGGAGGGACGGCGAGAAGGCAGACGTTATGTACACAGACACATCCTCTTCGCGGACCACGAAAACAAGGTCACGCTGCACCACCACAGCTCCCTACCTCAGGCCCTGCTCGCCATTTGTCCGTTTTTCCCTGCGAGGAAAGAGCCCCACGGCAGGAACTGACTGGGGCTGGGGTGAGCGATCGATCCGTCCGGATCAAGGTCAGTGCAGGGCTGGAGCGGGGAAGGGCGTGTGCGTCCGGACTGAGGGGGACAAGGGCGCTGGGGACAGGCTGGGGACAGGCCCGGCCGGAGCCCTGCCCTCCTCCCGCCGCACACTCCCACTGAGGCCCCCAGCCCTGGCGCAGCTGTAACTCGGGCTCCTTTCTGTCACTGTGAGAGCATCTGCCCGCCACATGCCACCCAACGGACCCAGTTCTCCGAGGGAAGAAGGCCATGAAGGGAACCAGGCTAGAGCGCTGCGAGGGCAGACCCTCGGCTGTGCCGGCCGGAAGACAAGGGGAGCCCGAGAGACCGCGGCCAGCGTTCCGGTTCAGGGGGTTCTCTCTCACCCTCGGCCTAAAGCCTTGGTTCTGATTCCGCCAGGCCGGAGTCTGCCGGGGAGACGGTGCTTTCTCCTGCTCTGCACAACCGATGGAGACTGGACAGAGGCTGCCTGGAGGACCAGGGGAGGCGAGCCGGGATGAGACAGCAGAAGGAAGGACGTCAGCACCTCAAAACTTTTCATGCCATTTGTTGGTGGCATGTAAGAGCAGGCGGGTGCTGAGGTGGGAGGGTATTGGGAAGGTCAGGAGCGCTGGAAAAGTAAAGCAGGGCATGCAAGCCTCCCACCCTCATGCCCGGAAAGCCTCGGGCGCTGGGATGGTGTCGAAGACAGCAGGTGGCGAATCTGATGAGAAGCCGCTGGCACAGCTGATCCTCTGGGCACTGGGGCAAAGCTTTGCGCGGGGCTTTGGGGAATGTGTGCCCAGGTGCGGAGCTCCGCCTGGCACGGATTCTGCTGTGGGCCAACGCGGAGGCGTGGAGGCCGGGACAGCACAGAGGGCGATGAGCGAGAGGCGAGGGCAGGGTCAGTGCCTGCCAAGCATCGGGCTCCACGCGGGCCTGTGGGCCCTGGTGTCTGCCAGCGCCTTTCTCGGCAGTGAGGAGGAAGGAGATGACACCGCACTCGCCGGCCTGCTTCTGTGTGATATGTTTGATATTGGGTTGTTTACTTAGGAACCAACTAAATGTCAAACATATTCTTACAGTAGGAGGTGATTCAGCACCACCAGCTCTTCCACCCTAACCTCAGCAGCTCTGGGGCTCTTGTCATTTTTGCCAAACCACTTCTCTCCAGGACCCCTCAGGACCGTGACCAGCGACCTAGTGTAGATTTCAGCCTTAACCTGGAGGACGGGTCTGGGAATGGGAGAGGTGTAATTTGGGGATCAAATCGTTCCATAGCTTGTCCCCTAGTTCTAGAATGGGTGTGTCTCTTTTTCTTCTCATGTTTTCCCCCCTCGTCTTCCCCATTATTCTCTGCCTCCTCTCCCTGGGACTCCCCTGTTCCCTGGTCCCTGGCATTGGCTGGTCTCCACAGCAGAGGTCGTTGATCTCTCTGTGTTCCTTCCTAGGTCATCTGGTCCACCTGCCTGGCCTACCAGTGGTAATCTACTGCTGCTAGCCTGCGACTAGATGCTGTCACGAATGGACTCCAGCTCTGTTCAGCCCTCTGCCTGGTGAGTGTCTTAGTTCCCACATTGCTGAGGCTTACGCTAACCAGCCTTGACATTATGACCAACTAGGGTCATTTATATTCCTCCCTAATAGTTCCGGTCACCTTGAAAGGTGCCCACCTCTCCCCTGACATATTCTTGGCACCGCTGGATGGGGATTCACGGCCACCTGTCAGTAAGAAGGCAGCAAATGGAGAAATGAGCATGGCCTGGAACTAAACTGCGAGAACAGAGTTGGCGATGATGGTTATGATGACGATGACATGGGTGGTGGTGGCTACAGAGCTGAGAGAGCGTGAAAACAGAGCACAGAACCACATAGACTTGGTCCATATAGGCACAAAAGTTCTATTTTAAGATCACCATGAGAAAACAGAGGGCATGTGTGGATTAGTCGGTCCCCCATAATCCATCCCCTGGGACGGCCTCCAGATCCCAATCCGACCCTCTTGCTCTATTCCCACGGCTGTTGGGGGAAAGGAACGACACCTCTCTGCCAATTCGAGACTCCCAAAATAGCACAGCAATTTGAACTGCGGATCTCGGGGAATTGTCAAGGATCAGAGCTGACCTCCCCTCTTCACTGTGCTCCAGCTGCCTGAAATCAAGAGATTAAACTCAACCAACAGAGTTTGGTCAGCATCCAACACGGCCTAGTGGAGAGCAAGGAGGGAGCCGAAGGGCAACCGGGACCCTGTGAAAGAAAAAGGCCCTCCTAGAATTGCCAAAGCACCCTTCCTATTTCGATGTCCTCCCCGCTCCTGCCCTTGCACCTTTGTTTTGTTTTGTTTTGCTTCGCGTGGAGAGGAAGCCTCACTAAGCCGTCTGGGCTGATCACTGTCTCTGCCCCTCTCAACCACCCACAGAGCTCCTCAGAGTGCGTGCAAAGTTTCAGGGGCAGGGAGAACCTCTCCCTCCTCTGCCCTCTCTCTCTAAAATCGGGCTCAGCTGTTCCCCCATTTTTTTCTGCTGGTGACATCAGGCCATCGGTGCGTCTGATTGTCTCATCTCGCCCACACCGTGTCCTGCTGGGAGAACCGTGGTGGGGGAGAGGGAGCTCGAAGACCTTATTCGGAAGAGGAGGTGGGGCTGCAAGCGCAGATAAAGGCTTGCTCTGGGGAGCTTGGGCACTCGGGCACAGCCCTCTTTTCCTGCCCTGCTCTCCAGCTGTCCAGCGTTTACAGGTGAAACCACCTGCAGCTGCTGCCCATGATGGAGGCCATCAAGAAAAAGATGCAGATGTTGAAGCTGGACAAGGAGAACGCTCTGGATAGGGCAGAGCAAGCTGAGGCTGAGCAGAAACAGGCGGAAGAAAGAAGTAAACAGGTAGGCACTGGCCCTGGCCTTTCTCAAGACCACGAGGTAAAAGGGGGTTTTCCTAAAACAAGGAGACCACTAGTTTCAGCAACTTCTTTGGGTGTGAGGGACTCCCTGGTCTCAGAGGGTTAGTAGAGGATCTAGGGTACCCACCTCAGACTCCCTGTGTGACCTTGGGAAAGTCAGTGGCTCCTCCCGGGCCACAGTGCATCCGAAGTGGGCCATGTTCTAGAAGAACCCCTGCCTTCTAGAGGACAAGGTAAGAGTTGAGCATTCACCATCTCCTCTAAATACAGCCACAAACATCTGTACCCTTAGATACTTGTCACCCCAGGGTCCCGGATGAGAACTCATGATGGCTTGGTCATGTTAAAGTCAGAGATTAAAGGGTCACGGGTCAAAGCCATTGCATAACTCCCACAGTAGTGGGCAGAAAGTGGCTGGGAAGACAGGGCTCGGGTCTGCCGGAGTCCAAGTCCGCATGGCTGTGTTGTGTGTCTTTGTGTGTGATTCTGGCTCCTGTAGCTGGAAGATGAACTAGCAGCCATGCAGAAGAAGCTGAAAGGGACAGAAGATGAGCTGGACAAATACTCTGAAGCTCTGAAGGATGCCCAGGAGAAGCTGGAGCTTGCAGAGAAGAAAGCAGCTGATGTGAGTATAGGAGAGATGGGGCTGCGGGTGGCTCTACACATTGATCTTCCTCTCACACTGCAGTCCAAACATGCTTTGACATGGACACTGTCATTGTACATGGAACACACATGTGTACCCCCATACGCCATGCACATGACCACATGCTGGTATACCCTGGTGATGGCACATGTTTTCCTTCTCAAAGAGCTGCTGGGGCCAGGTAAAGTGGTGCACACCTATACTCCCAACCCTCATGAGGCTAAAATAGGATGGCAAGTTTGAGCCCAGCCCGGGCAACTTAGCAAGATCCTTTCTTGAAATAAATGAATAACAATCTTTTAAAAGGTTGCAATGTAGCCCAGTGGCAGAGTGCCCTGATTTTAGTCTCCAGACCCCCTTCTCCCCACTAAGCAACATGCACTGGGGCCGGAGCTGTATGCAGCTCAGTGGTATAGCATTTGCCTAGCAGTCATGAAACTCTGGGCTCAATCCCCAGCACAGCAAGATAAAAATGAATAGCAAATAGCAGGCATGTAGAAGTCTCATTTTTATCCCCCACCCCCAAGAATTTATCTTTTTCAGGACCTGGAGAAAGGGAGAGGGCTCCAAGTGCAGACTGCCGTCATGTCCCCCACCTCCTCCCCCACGCCACATTCTTAGCTTTTGTGTACCAGGTCCGGCATGTGGACTTGTGTATTAATAGGGAATATCTCATCTCTGAACTGCCCAACAAAGCCAGCTCAGATTTCACAATAGGAAATGGAGGTCACGCTGACCCTGGCCGGATCTGGGTTGATTATGTTGGTCCAAGTTGGTGTCTGCCTTTATGTCATGCGGATGACCTAGGCAGCACGACTCATAGAACAGCAGAAGGGTTCCCAGGGTGGGCTATAACAAAAACTAAAAAGGAAACTCGGGCAGAAAGGTACTACCACCAGCCCTCGCCCTGTGACAAGTAAATTACCCAGCTTTTGTAGGGCTGGTTTCTCCTTTTGGAAATGAAATAAGCACATTCCTGTAATGCTAGCACTCAGGAGGCTGACTATGAGGATTGTGAGTTTGAAACCAGGCTGGGCCACACAGCTTTTCCCACTCCATATTATCTTATAATCACCTACTTTCCTTCAACTTCAACCTTGAAATTTTCTTCAAAGATTTAATGAGAGACTAGCTAGGAAAGTATTTGGGGGAAAATAAGTACCATAGAAATATTTTTTGGTGGGAGTTTGCTGGTGATTCTACCCAGAGCCTCACTGAGCTACAATCCAGGACATAGGATTTTTTTTTTTTTTTTTTTTTTTGAGATAAGGTCTTACTGTGTAGTTCAGACTGGGCTTGAACTCACTAGTAGCTAGTCTGGCCTTGAATTCTTGGCAATCCTCCTGCCTCAGTCTCCCAGTGCTGGGTTAACAGGCATGCACCACCATTCACAAGTCCCCATAGGAATCTTAAGAGCGACAAAAGGAACAGCTCAGTGAGGATGAGAATACAGCCATTTTTCAGCAAACTGAGTTAACAGAGATAAGTAGGACCCTGAGGCTGACTGAAATGCTTAAAATCATATTTGGTGTTGGAAAATAGCTAGAACCTAGTGGACCATTTGCAAACATGGATTCTCACAGGCTGTCTGTGAGAAAAATCAGGTTTCTGATTTTCTCTTTGATTTTCCATCACTTTCGATGGCTCAGGGAAGTGGAAATTTTGAATATATGATACTAGTGGTTAGAAACACAAATTGGATAATACACATTATATACACTCGGCTTTTAAGAATTTCAGCCATCTCAAACTATAGTCTTCCTTCTTGGAAAACTGTAAAACAAACAAACAGAAACAAAAATGAAACAAAAATCCAAACCTGTAAGTTATGCTCAGGGCTCTGGGTAAATGCTTAGTAGCCTGCTACAGTTGCCTAGCAACTAACAAAGGAGAACAAAGTCAAGTTAGGGACAACCATGTAAGGTGTTGAGTAACAACTTCCTGGAAAAGTCTTCAGGCTGAAACAGTATCAGGCTCGAGGAAACACGTACCAGGAATAAGAAAAAGAACAAAAAAGTCTAGCTATGCATGGTGCTGCATACCTGTAATCTCAGCAATGGAGAGGTTGAGGCAGGAGGATCTCTACAAATTCAAGGCCAGCTGGGTTACATAATGAGTTCAAGGCAAGCCTGAATTACAGAGCAAGACCTTGTCTAAAAAAAAAAGAGGAAAAAGCAGGGCTGGGGATTTAGCTCAGTGGTTCTACTGCCTGTCTCGCAAGCACAAGGTCCTGCGTTCAATGCCTGGTACTAAAAAAAAAAAAAAAAAAATCAAAAAAAGGGAAATAAATAAATAGAAAGAAAAAAAATTCATGGGGACAAACTTTGTCTCTTCTAAGATATTTTACACAAACATGGTCTACTCATTCATGTGGAAGAAGCTTCCTCATATTTATACAGGAATCTACCAAGAACCATTAAAGATGTAGTGCTGGTTTTAAAAATAACTCATTTGTGGACCGGGAGTTTAGCTCAGTGGCATTGTGCCTACCTTGAAAGCACAAAGTCCTGAGTTCAATCCCCGGTACCAAGAAAACAACAACAATTAAAAAAAAAAAAGCAAACTTCATTTGTGCTGAGGATGTAGCTCAGTGACGCCTTGGTCCCAAAAAAAAAAAAAAAAAAAAAAAACCAAAGTAAATAAAAATAACTCATTTAACTATTCTCCCCTTTGTTAGCTTTCCTGCCAAATCAGTAAGCACCTTTGGAGATACAGACCAGATCTAGAAGCAGGAGCACAAGGTCGTGGCCAAGGTCTGTTGGCCAGGTTAGATGGAAGCAGGGAAAAAGGTTTCTTCCCTGTAAGTCACCACTGTGGCATGAATCCTGCCATGGCCTGCGTTTGTACATAAAGTTTACTGGAGCGTGGTCAGTCTCGTTCACTCTCAGGCTTGTTCACTCTCATGTTGTCTGTTTTCTCCTCACAATAGAGTAGGTGCCAGAGACCCCATGACTCATAAAGCCAGAAATACTTACTAGATAATAAGCTTTGAAAGACAATTACTGCCAGGCGTGGTGGCTCATACCTGTAATCCCAGCACTCGGGAGGCTGAGGCAGGAGGATCGCTGTGAGTTCGAGACCAGCCTGAGCTACATAGTGAATCAGTCTCAACTACATAGTGAGACCCTGTCTCAAAAAACAAAAACAAAAAAAACAAAAGCAAAGACAATTACTGACCCCCAGCCTCAAGAGTCAGAGAAGGGAAGGGAAGTATTTATAGCAACTGAGGAAAGTGCTAAGGTAAGGAGCACAATGGCTCCAAGCAGTGAGCAAGGTTGGAAGGGTCTGCAGCAGTTCTTTGTGGGGAAGGTGCCCTGTCCAGCACAAGAGAAGTGGACAGCTCAGCTTTTGTCTTTGAGATTAATAAAGAAGCAAAAAGCTGTTAGGGGAAGGAGAGGGCAGAAGGAGTCAGCAACTAACTGTATGTTTACACAGGTGGTTCTGATTATGTGAAAAGCTTTTATGAAAATGTAGGACAAAATAAAAAAAAATGTAGGACAAGCTGGAGATTTAGCTCAGTGGTTCTGCCACCTGCCTTGCAAGCACAAGGACCTGAGTTCAATCCCTGGTACAAAAAAAAAAAAAAAAAAAAAAAAAAAAAAAAAAGAAAAAAAAAAGAAAAAAGAAAAGAAAATGTAGGACTTACTAGCACTGCCTAAACAAAGAAAAGGAAAGATATGGCAAGGTCATTCTCAACTTTTTTTTTTTTTCAGACAAGGGTTTGCCATGGAGCCCTGGCTGGCTGGCCTCAAACTCATGGTGATCCTCCCGCCTCAGGCTCCTAAGTGCTGAGATTACATGCATGGACCGCCACTCCTGGTGGATGAAAACATTTTTTCTTCACTGGGTTTGTCTAATATTACTTTTCCAATTGTGGTCAAGTATACAAACATGAGCCAGGCATGGTAACGTACACCTGTATGCTAACTATGAGGAAGCTGAGGTAGGAGGAGCAAAAATTCAAGGCCAAGCAATTCAGGGCTACTCTCAAAAAAAAAAAAAAAAAAAGGAGGGGAGCTGGGGATGTAGCTCAGCAGCACGGAGTTCAATCCGCAGCACCAGATACACACTGCACCCTTGATGGCGGTTTAAATGAAGATAGCTCCATCCTAACAGTCCCATGGCAATAAGCAGATTGAAGGCCCTCTGAGATGAAATCAGAAGCTGTTTAGAGAGAAAAGGGGCATATGGGAATACAAAGTTTAGGACATAAAAGTCACAGCATAGCACCATTTTATTTTTTAGTTCTTTCTCATTGTCTATTGGTACATTTTAGGTACATAACATGCTGACATTCGTAACTGGGAATTTGTACCTATACATGATGTATCTTGGTTCTATCTTTTCCTCACTCCCCTGTCCTCCCGTCAACCCCTCTGTCCCTCCATATTTGCAAAGACTTTGTTTCCATTTTTTTCTTTTTCTTCATAGCACCATTTTAAAGAACAGGGGTTGGGAGAGATGGTCGAAAAGGGCCAGGTACGGAGATGCACACCTGTTGATATATTGCATGGCATTGTTTGTCACCAGGAAAACAATAGCATTGGGTCCCTGGCTGCCTAGCCATGCTTCTAAAGACTCTGAGGAGTCATCCCACCTGCCTCTGGATCAAGACAAGATTGCCTGTTCGAACCTACCAGCCTCAGGAATCTGCTGTGTGTGAGCCCCTTTGGTTTGTGAGGTCTTCTGGCTCTTCACCAGGCTGGGCAGGTGCTGTAGTGCCCCCTGCTGATCAGTACCTGGATGACGACATCTTACCCCACAGTCCCTCCGTGAGGCCTCAGAAAGATTTGGAAAAACATTTTAGGCCGTGAGGGCAGAGTTTACTGAGAGTCAGAACTCTGCTCTTCCCTCCCAATGTTTGATGCTGAGGGCATCAAAGTGGACAGGTTTCCGAGAGAAGAATTTGTCTCGGCTGTTCCTCTGAAATGCTTTCATTGCTCAGAGTCTCCAGTGAGAGGAAGGAACTCCTCTGGAGG